AAAAAAAAAAAAACTCAGTTGGCAAGGTACTACCATTCAAGTGATAATAAAACGACCTATATAACAGTTTATATTTTTCTCAGGTGGCACTCTTACGAATTGCCATATTAAAATCATAAATCTTATATAAATGCCATAAATCTAGCATTAAGAATCAGATCTGGAAATATACATCCACTACTCATGGCATTACTATTCTTTAAAATGATCATTGTTCTATTATAAGAGGGACTCAACCCAACAAATGCAAACATTGTTACCTAATTCTCTGTACCCTCAAATTAACCCAAAACAAAAATAAAAAATAAATAAAAAGTAAAATGATCACAGTCCTAAATAAGAAAATTTCCAAAGTAAATTTTCATTTCATTTTTTTCACACTTAAAAGTAAATTACCTTCCAAAAATATTTTTATGTGCCAACATGTAGAGAAACTGTATTAAACCTCAATTGTGAATTCAAAGCAGATATAAAGTGTAACTTACAAAGTCCCCACCCAACCAATGAGTTATCCACCGGAGAAAGAACACTTCCCTGTTTTTCCATAAACACAAATCTCAGATAGCTAATTACGCTCACATCAAACTTCATGAGGCTTGCTTCCATTAGTGCTTGGCAAATCTCCTAATTCTTCACAAATGTCAAAGATGACGTGAAAAGAACCTTTTTTGAAATTTGAAAAATCAATATTTCCTTCTAGTATCTCTGAAAAACTAGGTTGGGAGGCAGAATGACGTGTGGATGGAAACCAGGAGTATTTAGCGTGCCCACCCGTAGAGCCTGAGCGCTGAACATTAACATGCTTAGTAAATCCAATTACATTGCTTGTGGAAACAGAACGGGTAATCTGTTAGAACAGAAACAAGCATTTGAGAAGAAGACATGAATGTTTTTAATATATTTCAGGTGTTCCTATCATTTGAAAGGCAATAAAATTTACAATATTTACTATAGATGCAGGAAATAAACAAAGGATAGTACTCTGACCTTGAAAATGCTTATAATCTAATTTTAACAAGTGAATATTTATCTATATTTTGTCAATTTTGATTAAATTATTTTGCAAATATTTACATTATCAACTAGCATAATTTCTCTCCCATTGGTTAAGGTTAACTTTGATCAAAAACCTATGTAAATATACTAACAGATTTAGCCATTAACTCTTTGATGTGTTAACTAAAAACTTTAACTAGCTTCTTAAAAAATATTAGTATATGTCTTGCCTGTATATATTTTATATAATAAAAAGTAACCACTTATAAAACAGAGCCCTCATAATGTGCCAACGCACTTTACATATAGTAACTCATTTAATCCTTACAACTACTTGAGACTCATTTTATAGATAGTGAAACTAAAACACAGAGATCTTTAATAACTTGCCAAAAGTCATAAAACTAGTAAATAGCAGAGCAAGGATTTGAACACTTGGGTTCCAGAGTTCATGCTCTTAACTACTATGCAAAAGGCCTCTCAGTATACAGTCACATCAAATGCCTGTGTGACTATACGACACACACATATATGTTATGTAGGCCTTACAATAACAGAACTGGATAAGGAAGCACAATTAACATCTTTTCTTGCACCTGCAGATTAGAGAGAAGAAGAAATGTGCTGAAGGACACACAGTGAAGAAGAAACAGCCCAATTGCTTTTCTTAACCTCGATAGGTTAGGATAATAATTTTACAAAAACAGATGTATCACTCAAATACTTGGTGATAAGAATACATGTTAGAAAGCCACTTGATATTAATACCTAATAATTCTGTGTTTAATGGAAGTTTGTGTTGTTCAGAAAACATTTAAAAATATATACATGAATTTAGAGCTCAGATCATCCTCTGAAATTCAGTGTCAGAGGTTACAGTCTACTCATCACAGACATTCCTTATTGTAGAAGGAATAAAACAGTTTCTGCTACGTTACTGAAACCAATCTGTATAAACAGAACCACAGGTATTAATATTAGTAAAGAGATAGGCCACATTGAAACATCTTTCTTTTCTAGAGATTTTAGAATACATTTCAATCCCAATAAAATGTCATATCAAACTACGTGTTAAGTATGTCTCTAGTTCATTAATAGTAAGGTTTTCTCAGTTGCCTTTACCCAAAAAGAGGTTAGAAGCTTAAGGATACATAAAAATGGTGGAAGATATTAATATTTATTAAAAGTCAACAAGTTCCATACCAATTGAGAACCACTTACTGCTAACGATGATGTGCTGGACAGACGACTCACAACATGTTTATCACTACTGGGAGGGCTTTTTCCCTCCACTGAGCTGTGGGAAGTCATGAGAGCCCTTCGTAGAGCTCTTTTTGGAGTTTTGGAGAAAGAAAATGCTCTTGTAACCTACAAGTAAAAAGAGTTACCATAAGGTAAGCCTGGACAAATGTAACATAGCTGATAAGAATGTTTATATGTAAAAAAGTAAAAAATATATGAAAAGTTTTCTACTAATAGTATGTGGCAGAATTAGAATCTCTTTGGCACAAAGCAGTGAGAACAATTTTGTAGACTACTCCATCTTGCAGTAAAAGAGCATTGTAGTCCAATGGAAAAAGGATAAAGAAAAAAAACCTAGCCTTGGAGGAAAGAACCTTGGGTTTTTGTCCGACTCAGTCAGAGTGGTCATGAGATCTTTAATACAAAAAAATCAACAGAAATCTCCTTTCCTTATTGTAAGAGTTCACTTGAAATATCATTTAATATGTTTGTTTGTTATACATAATACATATTAAATAAGGGAAGATATGGAGATGACCTAACATACAAGGCCTTTCTACAAAGAGAAAGAAAACAAAACTTATAAATTTAACAAAAGAGAATATGGCTGCAAATTTCCCTTAGAACACTAAAATTCTAGTTGTACTTTCAAAAAGCCCCATTTACCAATGTACTTATACAGTCCTCAACAACTCTGAGAAGGTTAAGTAAGGAATTGTCTCCAACACGAGAAAACTAAAACATACGTCTAGGGTCAGGAACAGATTACGAGTCTCCTGTCTCTTATCATGTTACATTTGCTGAAAAATATCTGAGATGGTATTTAAAAGGAACATACACATACCCAGATCTAAACATCAACAGTACATTTCTACTGAAGTATAATTCATAGTATTATCACTATGACAAGAATAGGAGAGATAACAAGTTATAATTACTAAGACAAAGAAATCACTGAACTAAAACTATTGTCTCTGTGAGAACAGCTTTGTTGTATAGATTATCTTTACACTGGTGTCTATGGCAATATTATTTGACTATTCTGGACTATAGTCTGGAAAATATACTGTAGAGCTATGTCAAATAATAATTTACAAAAACTCACCTTTTTTGAAGTCTTTTTTATTGCTCTAGAAGCTCTACTCAATGTACTGTCCATATCTTTTGTATTTACTTCAAAGGATTCTGGATCAGCAGTGTAAATAAGATTCTCCTATTAAAAAATAATACTCTTTTTTATTATTTTAAAATAAAAAGCATAACAGTTCCTAAAAATCAAACCATCACATATATTTGTACATATAGGAGTACCTGCAAATAAAGCTACTCCAGATTTTTGATGAGCTTGATGTTTGATATATAATCTCTTTTCTGAAATGTCCAAATTTAAAGATAGTGGGGAAAAAAGCATTCAGTAATGAATAATTTGTTGCAAGAACCATACATACCAAAGCAACTGAAGACAGACCTCAATATAAATCTTACTAAGCTAGAAATCTAAAACTAACAAGCTAGAAATTTAGAAGACTTAAACTTAATGCTTAAATAGTAAGCATTTCTACAGAAATAGAAGTCTATTACAGAATCAATATTACAAATACTTTCCTTGATATGATCTCAAATAAGGATTTAAACTTTCTTCCTTCGATTAGCATTTGTAAGGATTCTAAATCAGAAATTCTAAACTTGTCATCAAGAACTCTTAGGGTGACAATGGATAGAAATCAGGGTGTATGCAAGTCCCCTGCAAGTGTATGCAAAATTCTGGATGCACATGTGCAAAGTGCATTTTTCTAAGGTGAGAGTTCACAACTTATACCACATTCCCAAAGAAGGTAAAAACCTCATATACCCACTAATCTATTCTATACTTCTATGAGATCAGCAGAGGCTAGGGAGGTTTGGAGGGCATGGGAGATGGGGAGAAATTGGTTAAGGGGCGCAAAATTAGCTAGATGAAATGAGTTCTGATGTGCTACTGCACAGCAGGGTGACTACACAGTGTCCTTCAGAATAACTAGGAGAAGATATTGAATGCTCACACAATGAAATGATGAACCTAAGAGGAACAGGCATTCCAGATACTCTAACCGGATCACTATACATGTATTGAACATGTATACACTGTACCCCATAAATATGTACAATGATGTGCCAATTAAAAATAAATGTTCAGAAATATCTCACATAGGCCAAGAACCACTGAATCACTAAAAAAAGGTGACTCACCTCAAAGTACTATCAATTCAAAACATTACTTCCTTGTTATGGTTGGCCGTTCACAAGAAAGTCAATCAGACAAAATGTTTTTGCACAGTCCCATAACCAATTTTGCATAAATCTAGACCATGATTTGGTAAATTGCCTTGTGGTATAAGACTATACCAGCACTATCATCTTGCAGCTAGAGTGAATTTTATACAACCATGTCATAGTTGTTTTTTCTGAACATTTTCTTTTTTTCTTTTTTTAAGAGACAGAGTCTCATTTTGTCGCCCTTGGTAGAGTGCTGTGACGTCACAGCTCACAGCAACCTCCAGTTCTTGGGCTTAGGCAATTCTCGTATCTCAGCCTCCCAAGTAGCTGGGACTACAGGCTGAACATTTTCTTATCTGCAAAATGTGGAAACTATCTAGGGTACACTCAACCCATACAATCATAAGGCTAAAACAGGATAATGCACAGGAGTACTTTGAAATCAAATGCTAAGCCTCTTTACAAATAGAGTTGTTAAGTATTATACTCTACAACTATAATACTTGCTTTGGCGCTCTATCCTTGATACCCACAGTCAGCATTGGTTTTGCTAAAGCTTTTCTAATTCTATCATTTGAACAACCAAATCCCCTCTACCAGCCCAGACCTGCTCTTTCCACCTGATCCACTTGTGAAGTGACTCTTGGTTGCTTATTTAATCCCAATCAGGTAAGAGTACTCGCCACTGCCAGCATCTTCCAAAAACAGCATAATTATTTTTTGAGTTAAAAAGAAATTTAGCAGGTTCAGCACCCGTAGCACAGTGTTTAGGTGCCAGCCACAGATACCGAGGATGGCGGGTTTGAACCCAGCCCAGGCCAGCTAACCAATTACAACTGCAACAAAAAATAGCCAGGCATTGTGCTGGGCATCTGTAGTCCCAGCTACTTGGGAGGCTGAAGCAAGAGAATCACTTAAGCCCAAGAGTTTGAGGTTGCTGTGAGCTGTGATGTTGCAGCATTCTAGTTTGCGACACAGGGAGACACTGTCTCAAAGAAAAAAGAAAGAAAAATTTAGCAAACACATATTTTTTTTTTTTACAATTTTTTTTGGGGGAGCCAGGGCTGGGTTTGAACCCACCACCTCTGGCATATGGGGCTGGCGCCCTACTCTTTTGAGCCACAGGTGCTGCCCAGAAAACACAAATTTAAAATAAATTACCTTTAACTCTACTAACCAATTACTACCATTTTGGTATGTTTCTCACCGATATTTTTCTACATGAATAAAAATGTTTTTAATAACAAAATTTGAATCATACTATTCAGTTTTGTATTTTATGTTTTTCAGTGTGCTGTACATTGTATTTTTTTATGTCATTAAATATTCAAAGGAATTACTCTTAACAAACAGCTGATAAATCTTTTTTGATTATACTATAATTTTATCATTCTACTCTTTTTATGCATTTAAAGTAGGGTAATGGAGAACTATTATATAATAGGTACAGAGTTCCAGTTGGAAAAATGAAAAGGTTCCAGAGATAGATGGCAACAATATTGCATAACAGTTAATGCCATTTAATTGCACACTTAAAAACAGTTAAAACTGGGATATATTATGTTATGCACATTTTACCGAAATTAAAAAAAGAAATAAGCTAAAATCTATGTATGTAAAAACCACGTGTGATTTCTAAGCTAGAACACTTAGAGTTGAAAAGAAGAGTGTGGAAGTTCCTGGTGGATAAAAAGGTATACTATTTCAACTTCTACCTTGCCTCAATAGCCTTCAATAGTTTTCTTTAAAAAATTTCTTGTAATTTGGTGTGTAAACAAAAAAAGAAATGACATATTGCTCTATTAATCTGTAGAGCTTTAAATTACTGAAGTGTGTTGCTTTTTTTCCCCCATGTTTTCTGGCTCTTAAAGCTTTCTTATTTGTGAATTATCTACTTATATACTTTTCCCATTTTTAAATTAGTGTTTAAGTACTAGTGCTTTTATTTAATTATACAAAAAACTTTTAATGAAAGGAAATAATTTGTGAAGTTTTTGCCAATATTTCCCCCAATTTTACTTTGCCTCTAATTTTATATTCCTAATTATTTTAAGAGATTTTAGTTTCTTTGTTAAACTCTATAGATACGCATTTTTTACTCTTACACTGCTTCTCAGCCTACAAAATACTTCCTACTTAAAAAAGCTAATATTTGCCACCTACATTTTTATAGGTTTTTAGAATGGTTTCATGTTTTCACATTTAACTCTTAATTTATCTATAATTTATGGGACACAAGGTTAGAATATACATCTAATATTCTCTAATGCTTAACCAATTGTCCTAGCATCATGCTTTAACAACCTTAGTTAAATGTCTACATTTATCATACAATAAAGTCTTCTTTCAAGGCCATTTATCCTTTCCATTGGTGCACCTATTAATTTTTTAATCAGTACCATGTTCTGATCACTGTAACTTTAGAAGTACAATTTTATGTCGTATAAAGAAAGTACTGTTTCCTAAATGTTCTTAGGTATTATTGCTTTTTCTTTAAAAATCATCTTTGGAATCATTTTAAAGCCAAAAGTTCCCTACAGGATTTTATAGATAGCAATAAATTTATAATTTAATTAAAAATGAACCATCACCTTTGTGTTTAGTCAGCATTCTCATTCAGGAATATCACAGGTCTCTTAAGCACTGTAGCTTTCTTAAAATAGCTTTTATGAATTTTTTATAAGGCCATTCATAGATATTTTTAATAAAATTTTACTGGAAAGAGATCTGTACTTTCCGATTACTACCAGGATAAAGGAAAACTACAGTTATCCATGTATTTACATTTTAATTGGCTATTTTACTAAACTGTGGCATAAGTTCTAATAGTTTTCAGTTGGTTCTTGTCAGTTACCTTGCAAAATAATTCTGAATACTTAACACCTCTTGCCAATCCGTGAGAAACAAAGCAGTGAGGAATGTCATTCAAGCTCAGTCTCTATTCCCAAGCCCCCCATCCACACATACCTGTAAGGTTATGCTTTAGTAAGATTTCCTACTTTCCCAGTAGAGGAATCACAGTTACTATATTGCTATATGTGTGGCTAAGCACAGCTATGTCTTTACTTTCATGAACTTAATTTTGTTTTCATTTCATTCCATCTTAAATTTTGATTTCAATCAAAAAATATATATTAAAAACTTACAATCTGACCATAAGATACAGAGGTAAATTCAGAAAAATGTTTTGACATTTAAATATATTTTCCTCAAAGAAATCATAAATGTTTAAGGTGATAGATATGGTAATTATCTGGACCTGCTCATTATATAATGTATATGCATTAAAACTATACCCTATAATCATACTGTACCTATAAATATATACAATTGTGTCAATCATAAGTAAAATAATTAATTAAAGCTAAAATAAATAATAGTAATAAAATAATACTATAAATAAAATAAAATAGTAATTAAAAAGATAGGGGATGCCCATAGCTCAGTGGGCAGGATGCCAGCCACATACACCCAGGCTTGTGGATTCAAACCTGGCCCGGGGCCACTTAAACAACAATGACAACTGCAACAACAACAAAAAAATACCCAGGCATTGTGGCAGGCGCCTATAGTCCCAGCTACCTGGGAGGCTGAGGCAAGAGAATCGCTTAAGCCCAAGAGTTTGAGGTTGCTGTGAGCTGTGATGCCACGCTACACTCTACCCAGGGTGACATAGTGAGACTCTGTCTCAAAAAAAAAACTAAAATAAGTGTATTTTCCTCTATTATGTTTCATTTTTAAACTACAAAGTAATTTGTCAATATTCATTGGAATTGGTTAACTTATAATGTTTTTAAGAACTAAAAGACAAGAAAGCCAACAAAGTTAGCTGGAAAGTACAAAAAGAGAATTTATTAAAAGTGACTGGTTACAAATTGAACATACATCTATCAAAGATTCATCTATTTACAAAACAACTTAGAAACAGCTAAAATACTCTTCTTTTATGATAGTATAAAGAGAAAATTACGTAGGAATAAATCTAATAAGAAATGCATGTTTTTGAAGAAAACTTTATTCTTATAGTTCTAGAAAGATACCAAAGGAAGCACCAAAAATCATACCTCTGAAAACAAAGACTGGCTAGACATAAGTAAGAAACGTATATTTTATTGCAATATGCTCTTATATATTTTTTTCCTTAAGTACAAATAGTTATCTTTTGATTTAAAAGTGATGGTAAAAATCATAGCATACATATAAAACTAAATATTATTAATTTAAATATACTCTTTGCATAACATGTTTATGCAAAATGTACCAAAATTTTTCTTTCTTTTCCTTTCTTTCTTTTTTGAAAAGAGATTCCACCTAGTTATAGTGCCCGGGCAGGAGAACCGCAGCCCTAGGCAAAATGTATCTATCTATGTATGTACAATGAAACTAAACTCCAAGTGTGTTTAATTTTGAGGAAATACTCTTTATAATTAAGGCCTCTGAAATTTAAATCATTAGCAGATGCTAATAAAAAAAGGGCTTCTCAGTTTTTCCTACTCTTACTTTAACTAAGCATTAATAACCACCTATGAGCTAAAAAGGGAGAAGGGGGCATCATTTTTTCTCTCCAGAAACAACTAAATTACTTCTGATTTGGAGGAGTGAAAAGATACAAGATCTTTTACATTCCTAAAAGATTCTGAGTTCAGAGTAACTAAAAGGCTAACCAGTTTACTAAAGTTAAAAATACAACAAAACTGTCCCCTAAGGTGTAAATATGAAGTTTTGTGGCTCTCCCTGGCATAGAGGAGAGTACATTATGGGCAGGAGTGAAACTTCCTAGACTTCTGTTACTTTTTTTTTTTAAATGATTCCCTCCTTTCTTCCAAAAATGTTTTTCCTTCTTTTTAATCTATTCCTCTAAATTTCTAAAACAAAATAAAAATAAAATTTATAGCATAACCAAAACTCATTTTTAATAACAAATACATTAAAAAACATACTTCTTCAAAATATGTCAAACATTTAAGAACCTTTGGAAGGGCAGGAATTTTCCTAATCCAGCCCCTAATTCACCTAGTTTTGAAGATAGACTTCACAAGTTTAAGACTAAAAAGTAATAATCAATCTCTCCCATTAACATACATAATAGTAATTACAGGAGAAACTAAGCCTCAGCTATAAATTTTAGAACTTTATTCCTGAGTGTTAACTCACAGGACATTTTCTAGCATTTGACATCGTAAGCAATGAACTCGTCTACTTGTGAATTATCAGACCCTTTCTCTCCCTAAACTCTCCTCTCCTCTTAGTCCTTAATCTCCCAGATGCGAAAGCAAAAATAACTACTACCATGTGCCCCCTTCTTCAGCTTGTTACTCAATGATTTCCTCACTGGAATCTGCGGGTTCGAGTTTCTAATTTGGCCAAATTAAAGTAGTACCAATAACAGGCACTGATGTTAACAATGTTCTGCACATACCTAATAACTAGCAGAATAGTTATACTTTTAAGTACAAATCATATTAACTTGTTATAAATATCATGGGCTCATAAGCACAAACTCTTTTCACATATGTTCTATTTCCAATTTATTCCTCACACAGTTAGAAATTCTACTTACAAGTTTAAAAACTAAGAATGAGTATTGCAATTCATAAGTAGCCAGTAGTGATTTGACCACTGTGTAGAAAAGTTTGATTTTTAAAGGAAATATAAATAGTGGCAAAAGTACTGAATTGTACCATATGCATTCAATTATCAAGTTACTTCTAAACTTACCAAATTGGGAAGGTGGGTATCATTGTCCATATTCATTTGTTAGTAAGATTATACTTTTGATACTGTATAGAGGTTAGAAATTTGTAATGTCCTCAATAAAGCTACCATCTGACCTCAGGTGACATATGAACCGTAAGAGAATGAATGCAATTAGAGATTACATGCTGGCAATAGCTCTCTCTATATATCTACTGTATATGGATTCTGAATAAGATTTTAAATAAATTTAAACTTTAATCTGTAAATTCTGAAATAGCAGAATATGGGACATGATATCATTGGAGAAAAAAACTATCATGAGGGCTTGACTAAAAATGAGAATATCTAGATTCTTTTTAGCTTTACACTAATCAGTCATTGCTCTTGGCCTTAGTTTCACATATAAAATAATGATTTAGATTAACTTTTCTTTTAGCCTGAAAATTTTAACTCTGAAGTCATTTACAAAAGGGTTCAATGAATAAAATAATACAGAAGAAACTAGCTGTGTTTATATTACTCTTTTAATTAAGCAAGTTCAAATTATTTAGACAGTGGTTCTCAAGCTTCCTAATGTCGCGATGTATTTGCATTGTTAAAAAGGGGTCACAACCCTGAGGTTGAGAACCACCGATTTAGGACATCAAAAATATATACACTAAAAAGACAAAAGCTACTAACTCAAGAATCAGATTTTTATATCTTTTACATCTTTTGTACATATATATTTAGCAATACTTTCTCTTCAATATGGGAAAATGTTCTAAAATAAAACATTTAACTCAGTGCTTTTAAAAAATTTACTACATGTAGAATTTTAAATGCAGGAAAGGGCTTAGCTAAAGTCACTAAACCTCTGAATTTATAAACGTATTTCTTAAGAACAAGATTTCCACATAGAAGAATTTTGTGATCTAAGTATAAATCAGAACATAGTTAAACATTTGCTGCCATCTTGTGGCTTATTTTACTTCATAAAATTTTACCATTCACCGTCTATATCTCAGTTCTAGTATTGGCAATCTCGTGGCTAGTTAATTCAATAGATTGCATTTTAAGAGAAATTTCCCATTAATTTGACATTTCAGTATTAAGGTTATACATATGAAAATGATTATATGATACACACAGTCTGATATCCTGATAAATCCAGGAGTTATTTCCATAATTAGGAATTACTATAATGTAAGGAAGCCCATCTTATATATGGATACCCAGAACTCTGAAAAAAATTCTTTATTAAGGAATTGTGTAAGCCTTATAGCAAAAGCTAGTTCTCCCATTTTTTCTAGCTGGCATTATGGTGTACATGCTAGCATTTTATTTCCCTCTATGAACCTATTTTGTGAAAAAATAATTTTTTATTTGTAATAACATACTTGTGGCTCACAGAAATCCAAAATGAGAAAAACAAACAAACAAATCAAAAAGTCTGATTCTAAAAACGTTGGTAGAGGGTTTTAATTATTTACCTTATAAACCACATTATACTTCAATATCTTCCAAGGTCAGACTTAACTATGACAAAATGTTTTATTCCCATAAAAATGTCTAAGGCAATCTCAGTTACAGTACTATTGTACTGAACAGGGTCATCTACCTTATATTATACCAATACATTCTCTCAACCTATGTCATTTGTGCCCAGATTAAGAGTCTATATAAGCCTATTATTGTCTCTCACACATACGGAGATGAGGAAATCAAATTATATTTTAGGGGGTCTAGATTTTATCCAAGATCTCCTACAGGCTACCTGACATCCAGCAAAGTCATTTAACTTCAATATTTTGATTTTTCATCTATTTTCACTTTAATCTGTATAATAATTATATATTCATAATATATAATTTGACTTTAAGAGGCTGGCATGAGAAAAATGGATTGTGACAATCCATCTATTGCTTTCCATATTTAAGGAAAAAAAAGAACAAATATTCTCTGTTTACTAATAGCCACATTTAAGAGCGCCAGTGAAAATCACAGGGTATATTACAAAAACTCCAAAGCCTCACTAAATCAAAGGCACAGAAGATATAAGACTGTGAGGGCCTATCTGTATATAAGCTATGGACTGCAAAAATACTTATGTCTGAATTTTAAAAGTCTTTTCCAGAACAACTTGTTAAACCAGTGTTTCCAAATATACACAGAACTAAAACACTCGTAGTAAATAAGCCATTAAAAATGTACAGGTCTATCAGTGTGAAAAATAGGGGCCTACAAAGAAATACAAAGGAAGTTTAGCCTGACTGTGCTGACCCGGAGTTTAAACCATCATTATAATGCTGGTTACAGAACTTACAGCATCAGCTTTGCAAATGGTATTGGCTACATGTCGACACAGCATCCTTAGCCAGTCTTCTTTTGGAAGTTCATCTGATGTCATCTGGAAACTGAGCAGTATGTTTGCCTGCTCTGTTGGGGGCCTCACAAGCAAGGCAAAAGCATTGTGGCAATCTAGGGTTCCAGAATAATCATAAACATTCAGTGTTACTCCTTAGAAAATGACAGATTTATACAAATTTAATTCCCTCAGAGCAACAAAATTTCAATGAAATTATTTCTTCTTTACACTCCTGACCCCTCTGTTTTCAACTAGACAAGAATATCATTACATTAAATCAAAGTACTGGAAAGAATAATAGTAATAGTACACTATGTAAGGAACAAATATTGATAACTTAATTACATTAAGTTAATATAATATATTAAGCAATATTTCCATGATATTTAATCTTTTCTATAATAGAGTTTAAGAATAATTAGATCAAAAGGGGAAGATGTGCATGGGTTATATGCAAATATAATGCCATTTTATATCAGGGACTGGAGCATCCACAGATTCCAGTATTTATGGGAGGTGCTAGAACCAATGCCCCATGGAAGATGATACAATGTAACCTTTCATACATCTAAAATTTGAGAACTAAGTGAAAAAAGCAACATATATTTTGCTGTTCAAGTTTGCTTTAAGAATCATTTCTCAGGCAGTAGCGCCATCGCTCAAAGGAGTAGGGCACAGGCCCATATGCTGGAGGTGGTGGGTTCAAACCCAGCCCCAGCCAAAAACTGCAAAAAAAAAGAATCATTTCTCATGAATTGAAACCTTTCATCATTAGAGGAATCAGTGATGGACAAAGCTTACATTGTAAAAACATATGCCCAATGTCCAGGATATGGCCATACACATATAGTACCAACTTCCAATTAAACATGGCATTGTTTTAGGTAAACAATTTTTGGCAATTTCAGGCCTGCAAAGGACTCTCCCTAATAGCATCAATGATAAGAGTAAAAATGGTCCTTAATACATACTTGACCCCTTATCAAGTCTACCAGTAACTTTACGTATACTTATTTCACTTGCATCTATTCTTGATCCATATCCTAAACATATCCCTAAAAATGCAGCCACTGGCAACAGGAAAGTTGTTAAGATATGAAGTGCAGGTAATAGACCCAGTTACCTCTTTTGCATCCTGAAGAAAACAAAGTAAGTTTTCTTTAAATTTTAGTGTGAAAAAAAGGCTAAGTTTGGGCACTATTTTAATGCATAGCCATTTAAGAGCTCTTGAACTCTTAACAGATGAGGATATCTTATAGGTTGAAACAGACTTTCTTCTGACAACATAAAAAAATGAAGTATGTCTCTAGAAAAGGAATTGGAATAGAGGTACAAGAACAATTTCTTTAGCAGAATCAACCATTTAAAAGATAATTTACCAGTTTAAAAAAATTCATAATGGAGTTAATTAAACCTACAATAAATATGAGCTACTTTTAGTCAACCAATAGTTCATCAAGGAGCATACCTTCTGTCTCTCTTATGTCCAGCACCTTCTTAATCTGAGAAAGAGGCATTAGATGAATATGCTTAAGAGAGGCTGGAGGTCGGGCATGGCCATGAGGACTCCTAAAATTACCAATAACCTTATGCCGTTTTCTTGCTATCTGATTATAGAAAATAAAAAAGTCATCATCAGTAATATGAATAATACAGACCAACTACTTAAAGATAAAATAGCAATAAATATATGAATCTATATAAAACTCATTTAACTATATATAAAACATTCTAAAATTGCTATAGTGTAAGCAGATTTACTAGGTGACAAAATCATATAACAGTGTAGCAGAAACGCCCATGTTTATATAGGAACTCAAAAATCAGGAAAACAGCCAAAGGAATATTGTGTCTGGAAAAGGTTCCAGAAGTAGGAAAGAACTAGCAGCACTGTGAGAAGCAATAGAATCAAACAATGAAGGAATCTATTCTTTTTTTTCTTTTAAGAGACAGAGTCTCACTTTGTCACCCTTGGTGTGCCATGGTGTCACAGCTCATAGCACCCTCCAGCTCTTGGGCTTAGGTGATTCTCTTGCCTTAGCCTCCCAAGTAGCTGGGACCACAGGTGCCTGCCATAACACCCAGCTATTTTTTGTCACAGTTTGGTCGGGGCCGGGCTCAAACCCACCACCCTTGGTATATGGGGCCGGCGCCCTACTCACTGAGCCACAGGCGCTGCCCGATGAAGGAATCTTGAAACAAAAGCCTTGAGTTTAGAAGGGGAACAGCTGTTTTGGATAAATGAGCAAATAACATCTATGGTTCCTACTGTCATATTTATACACTATTGAGAAAGGGAAATATTACAAACGTAATTAAATAATACATTAAATAACTGATATAAATTATAAATTCAAGATGTTGTGTTAGGATATAAGTTTACCTAAACTGGGATCTCATTCAAAAGAAAAGAGGCAAAGTAACAGTGGAGAAGACAGGAGCAAAACTAGAAAGGACCTTGTGATTCCTGATGTTCTATGAATTGTATAAGATCTTTAAATTTTTTATTTTTACTTCCGTGAAAGCTTAGTATATTATTGTTAAAGAACATCTCTTGTTCTTTTGTTAAAGAACATCACTTTTACAATAATAATTATCAACTGAAATATATTAACATAAAATGACTTTAGTTTCAATTACTTACTAAAATAAGACAGATTGGTCATCACATAAATATGACAAAATGGCTGAAAAACTTTGTGGTGGCTACTGAGAAAAGACCAAAAGCTAAGCAGTGTATCATATCTACACTGATGCAGAAACATGAAACAGATCCATGTCACATATCAAATATATTTATACCAGATATCAAAAGATCATTTATGTTAATATAGTGAAATAAGCAATAAAGTCTTAATAATTTTTCCACTGTAATATTAGAATATACTTATAAATTAATTTGATTATTAAATGATTTAAAGCTTATTATTAAAAACAAGTATTAAAACTGAAAACCCTCAAAACACAGATTATATAAAAAAGGAAACAAATTCAAAATTAGTTTAGTTTCCATAAAAATATCACTTATCATATTAAAGAGAAAACAATCTAGATTTTACCCATTTTGAATGTTTCTAAGTTTTATCATTAAGTATGATGTTTGCCTTAGATTATCAGTCAAGGAACTACCATACTTTTCATCTCAAATTTGCTAAGAAACGTGTTAATTCTTTTAAATAAATAAGCTAAAGAATAAGAGATCATTTAGAATTTATTATTTTTGTTTTTTAAATTTTTATTGATCATGAATTTTAAAGTCCAAATATGTCAGAAATAAAGCAGTTTCTGTTGAATTGATTATGAGGCAGGGAACACAAAAAAGAATACAACAAAATAATACTAAATTCAAGAAGGCAAAAGAAATGAGAGTCCCCTTCCAGGGGCTTAGAAGCCACAGGGGATGGCCAAAGACAGGAATTAAAGAGGAAAGAAAGGCCATGAGTTAATGACAGAAGGCTTCATGGAACCTGGTAGGGATATAAGATCAAATTTAAAGCAAGGCACAGCTGTTATCAGGAATAAGGATGTGAAAACCAGAATAGATAAGCAAGAAAATACAGATAACCTAACCCATTAACCCATTAGATGAATGAACAAGATGATGTAAAAAAAAAAAAAAAAGAAAGAAAGAAAGAAAAGTGGATTTTTTCCCAACCCAGGGAGGGAAATCTTACACAACCTGCACCCAGGTGGAATAAAGCCATTTTAATTATTAAAAAAAAAACACACACACAAGAAGACCTAAGGGACTTCAAAAGAAAAAGCAAACTGAGAAACTCCATGATAATACAAATTGAGTCAAAATTTGGTCAAAAATTAACTCTTTCACCTACCCCTGTCTCTCAGAAGCAAGACAAACTGAAGTTCTCATGGGAGAGACAGGTAGTTCAAAATTGGTGGTTCATGATTTCACTTTCTCACTTTAGGATGTGGTCACTTATGTATGGTATTTTTACTTTCTTTTTACTTTTGTGCTTTTTGTAACATTACTGACCAAATGAAAATATCTTTTTTCATTAAGCTCATAACAACAAAACTCTGTATTTAACACAAGTGACTTTTTGGTGAGATTTTAGTGCATCAGCAATTATTCTGTACATGGCTTGCTGTCTAAGAGTCTCTTGTATGTTACACTATAAATAATCATGTATATGGTATAAGAGGGCAGCACTTCAAGAGAAGTAGAGAAGAATAAAAGTAGAGAAGTCTTTACAGACTTTAAAGAAAAAGGAAACCCTTCAATTGCTTTGATGAAGGCAACAAAGAGTTACTACTAACAGAAATGTCAAATAAGTGTTCTTGTTAATGTCTGCCATATCAAAATGAACATTTTTCTCTACTAAGATGAAGGAAAATGTACTTCTTTTTATCTCTCTTACTAGACTGTTGTTTAAAAATACATATAAAAAGAGAAAAAAATTGAAAACCACACAAACATAATTCATTTTTTTGTAGGGATAACAGAGAAGGAAAACAATTTGGACAATTAAGAATTTTAGAATTATACTTCAGCTAATATGCTGACCACTCATTCACTTTATTTTTTTTTTAGTTCCAATGTATTTATTTTTATTTTATTTTATTTTATTATTAGATCACTCATTCACTTTAAATCTTAAATGGAAGAATCAAGAAATAAAGAATTAGTACTATTAAATTATCAAGTTATCTCTCTCTTCAACAAAATACTGACTTCATTTTTGCTGGAAAAATTGAAGTAAATTTCAAAAGGAAAACCTCTTAAGTATTTTGTGAAACTTGAATAAATATAGAATAGAAACAAAAGTTCCCCAAATTCTTGACCAAGGCATTTATTTGCATAAAAATATTCATCTTGACTTAGATTTAAAGTCATAGAAATTTATCATACTTTTTAATATCACACTTTCTAAAAGTACTTTATTAACATTATTAAATCAACAATTGTTCTAAATTTTTTAAGAAAGTGATTATTTGAGTTTACTTTAAACTTCTACATTGTATTTCAATCAAAGCTTGGTTTAAATACTCAAGGAAGTCACAAAAATCGGCAGTGCCATTATTCTATACAAAGTACAACTTTACCTCTAGGCAGTCATTGAAGAGGAAGAGAGTTACTTGTTCTCCTCTGTCACAGGGGTGCTCACCTAGAGAAATTGTTTCAACTCGCTGTACTAAGCTTCGGTGAGAAGATAAAAGATTAGCCTGTGTAGATTGAAAATATGAATAGCAATCTTTTGATATCAAGTAATTTTTAAGAAGTCATAATTTAAAAGAAAGTGGTACCAAGGTTCTGCTTACATTAAAACTATAGAAACCTGATTAACCAGAAAGAAAAAATAAATTGACTATTATCAAAAAAGAATACTTACCGGGCAACCATCTACTTCATAAACAACATCAAAAATTTGTTTTTGAGCTTCTGTTTTTCTTTTATCCTCATTAATATGCCTGAAAATTAATAGTTATTTTTAAAACAGAACATGAAAACTGATAAATCTCATGTCACAAAAAAAGTCCTCTCATGTGAATCTTTCTTAATTTTGATAAAGGGATCCGTTAAAAAATTCCTTAAAATATCCCACTAGTACACTAAATAAAAATGCCATAGAACTATTCAGAAAAGCACGTTTTACTATTATACTCCTTTGTATGTTTGTTTATGCACTATATACGCATAATTATACATATATACAATACATTAAACCTATACAAACCTCAGATTAATAAACAAAATTTTGAAGTTCAATAATGGTTTTATGCTGGTCATTCACAAGTCATATGCTAATCGATTCACTGAAAAACTAAGACTACTGCTTCTAGGCAAAACAGAATTAAGAAACAAATTTACCCTTCTGCCTGAGACAACTAAAACACCAATCAAAATACAAAGAAACAAGTGTTCTCAAAGACATTTGACATTGATCTCTGAGGGAAAGGAAGTTAAGGCAAGCCCTACTGTTTAGCTCTTTAGCTCAAAGTTTCCTCCCTGTGTAAAGGACACATTAGTGCCACCTATATCCCTAAATGAAAGAAGCTAAGGTGGGAGTTCAGTGAGGAAAGATGGCTAGTTTGCAAGACAAATTGCTGGAAAAGAGAATTGCACAGAGAAGCACTCTATAATAGGTCTGCATCAGGCTAGCTTCCAAGAGCTCAGCTGAGAACTCATCACTGCATGGGAAACCAAGGTGAAGAATTATGGGTAATAGTGCACGGTGCTTACACGAAACAGTGACCCCAAAGTGGAAAACTCAAGATTCATGTGCCATAGAGCATTAAGAAAGGTCTTTCCCCAGCAGGTGAGAAAATTAACTCTCGACTAAATGCTGTTCTGATCTTGCCTAACAAATTTTAAGAGCAAGCTGTAAAAAGATCACATTGTTCGGTAAGTAACATAACTGCACACCAGAAAAAAGCTCCTTTATGGAATGTAAAAATATCTAGCTCTCCAAAAATAAAACTGACAATGTCTAGAGTATAATAAAATAATTCCAGGCATGTAAAGAAACAGGAAAATATGACTAATTACAAGGGGAAAAACCTGCAAGTGACACAGATAAGTGAATTAGTAAACAATGTGAAGATATTATATCCACTTTACAGGTTCAAAAAAATTACACTGAGGGTTAAGATATTAAACAAAGACATGGAACATATTCTTAAATGACCTAAACCAGTTATCTAGAGATGGAATGTACAATGTTTTGGATGAGAAATACACTGAGTAAGAAAGTATACAGCAGATTAAACACTGAAGAAGAAAAGACCAGTCAAACTGAAGACCACAACCGTGTCAAAGTCAAAAATAAAACACAGAAATGAATCTCTAGACTTAACATTTTACTCTGAAAAGCAAGAACTGCAATTTGGGACACAGACATAGACTGGTGGTCTTTGGTGTGTTCAAAGAACAAAGAGGTTAGAGTTCTATTAGAAAGTGAAATGTAACTGTAATGTGTTGTTTATAAAGAAAAGCTCATTAGAAGTAGTGAAGTTTCCAGGAGCTGGACCGCTGATTAGTGAATGATGATGATGGGTAAAACTGGTCTTAAAGTCATGATCTGGCCAACATCTGAGTAACAAAGAGGCTGACAGATTTTCCTGAGGCCAGCAGTGAGTTAGTTCTTTCCTGCTATTTCCATAGTTATTAGCAATCATCTAGAAGGGTTAACTTCACAAAGATTAAACAAGTAATAAGAATAAGGCTTAAAAATCATTATACAAAAACAATTCAACACCGTAACAAATTTAGTTTGTATAATAGTTTTGAACCAAGAGTACAAGCCTGAGGGCAACAATCTACACAAATCAAAAGACCCTTGGGGAGACTAGTGAGACCTGTTGTGGCCACTGAGGAGCACTTTATGACTGGGTTGCACTAAGGAAGAGAATGCCAACTTTACAAAAGGAACCACCAGTACAACACAAAGAAAGGCTGTGTTAGAGATACATAGTATTACCATTTAACTTACCCACTAGGTGGACTAAAAGAATTTCTTAGGTTGGGGTTTGTCAAGTTATTTATAGCAGTTACTGATGGTGAAATTTTAATTACAGGACTATTTTGTCAAGTGAAAAGGTAGGCATTTAAGAAGGCTGAGAGTCTCATTATGAGATGGAGTCTTGTTCTGATGTCTTGGAAAAAGTTCTCAAAAGCCTGAAAAATGACAACTTATCCTGGTTTGCAGTTTGAGTATCTCTGATTATGGCATCAGGCAGTGGCCTACACATTAAGCATAAGACTTATTTCTTAAAATGTATATAGTTTCAGTTTATAGGGCTTTGGGAACAGGATAATTTCCATTTTTACTAATTTTACGGAAGAAAGTTGGATTTGAGAAACCTAGAATTTAGGTTCTAGTCTAGTCTATAGGTAGGTAAAAGGAACTCAAAAACATTGAACAGAGCTGCAAGGTGTAGAATAGATTTTTCATTGGAAATATAACTTTTTTTCCTAACTTGACCACATAGAAATCTCACACTTAAAAACTTTAAGCCAAACAACGGCAGACTTTAGATTTTACTTAGTCTCAAAGTTCTAGGGCCTGCTGGGCAGTGACAGCTTTTTTTTTTTTTTTTACTCACTGTAAAGCTAGGAACTTTTGAAGTCAGGCATTTTATGCATATTCTCAAATACAACATTTCAGTCAAAGTTCCAGCCAAAATGTTTTAAACTCTATATTGCTATAAAGAGCAAGCAGATTTTTATTGGACTTATGCAAACAACTATATTGCCCTAAGAATACTAAAAAATAGTTTTCAAATTGTGGAGGAATTAAGTAGGGAGAGCAAAATAGATGTTTTTATCTGTGTTTACAAAATTATACTTTAACAAATGGCTATAAATTACAGACAGCTTCAAAGAGAAAATCTTCAAAAATCCAGAAAACATTTGAGTAAAGAACCATCGATGTTTTGAATAAAGTCGTAAAAACATTATTTTCATCAGTTATTCAACCTCACATAATTAAATTTTATCCTGTTTGATTTCCACTAGTAGTCTGATGAATCCATTCTTTTTTATTAACACTCAGCTATGGGAATTTTTATTAAGTCCACTGATCTTAAGCTTATTAGAAATTTATATATAAAAAGTCTTTCTCATGAATCTGATCATAAATGTTTCTAAAGAAGAATTAAAATAGTAAGCGTGAATCAAAAAAACTCTTAGAACAGGGATGTTTAAAAATTCTGATAAAAGTTTACAATTGATAAGGTAATGCTATAGCATTTAAGATAAACCAAAATTATAACTTAAAAAGTTTCTACAAATTTATTTAATTTTTGAAATATTTATATCAACAACACCCATAAATGCAGCTAAAAGAAGATGTAGTATCATTTATCATTGAACAATTTTTTTATAAAATTTACCAAGTAATCCTAATAATTTAATATCTCTCCAGGATATGTCTTTCCATGTTTTCCAGGGGCCCACCTTGAAAATCCTAATTTTAGGTTAAAAAGACTTATATTAGAATTTTATTTTGAGGAAGCTTGTCAAAGATGTTAAAAGCCTCAAAACACGGGGCAGCGCCTGTAGCTCAAAGGAGTAGGGCGCCAGCCCCATATGCCAGAGGTGGTGGGTTCAAACCCAGCCCTGGCCAAAAACTGCAAAAAAAAAAAGGCTCAAAACAGTTGATCTAAATTGGATCACAGGTCACTTGTGAAATAATAGTCATTTATGTAACCAGAGAGATATCCAAAAAGCTTTAAAAACAATGCAGAGAATTATATATATATTTTTTTAAAAAGGAGAAAACCTAACCTTTTTAAAACAGAAGGTTTTATTTATTTTTATTTGGCGCCATCAAAAGCCTAATAAAGGCAACACAGGAAGTTATCTTGATAAAAAGTGGAATCTTTGCTTCTTAGGCCAGCTAAAAGGTAAAGAGAAAAGCATTGTACAGTGTTTCTTCTTTCCAAAAGCTCATTTAGATAACCTCCAAATTAACCCCAAAGAAAAGGGCACTTAAACTTAGAGAAGAAATGTTACACAATGAGTGTAACAATTCAAGTCTGGTCAAAAAACCCACAAATACAGAACCAAGGCCTTCAAGATAAACAATTCAGTGTCAGGTTGTAATAGCAGTCAGAGCAAGAGAAAAAAGTTACAGAAGAAGGGATAAAAAGTCAAAGAAACAAGTTATCAACTCAAGCCTTCACAAGGGAGAAAAGCTAAAGATGGTGATATATAACCTCTAACATACAGCAAGTTAAATATCTGGGATTTGAGACTGAGAAAATTCAAAAGCAAAACTCTATAAAAATAATTTCATGGCTCGGCATCTATAGCTCAGCAACTAGGGCGCCAGCCACATACACCGAGGCTGGCGGGTTGAAATCCGGCCCAGGCCTGCCAAAACAACAATGACAACTACAACCAAAAAATAGGCAGGCATTGTGGTGGGTGCCTGTATCCCAGCTACAGTACTTGGGAGGCTGAGGCAAGAGAATTGCTTAAGCCCAAGAGTTAGAGGTTGCTATGAGCTGTGACGCCATGGCACTCTACCCAGAGTGACATAGTGAGACTCTGTCTCAAACAAAAAAAAAAATTCTACATGTAGAGGACAACACTTTTAAACTAAAACAAGGGGAAAAAAATCACTGTATTTTGCCATTTACAATATACTCCTATGGATAATGCCCAGCCATGTTTTGGATCACTTTTTAGAAAAAAAATCTTTCATTTTTTTAATTCAAACTTTTGTTTCCTTTTATTTAGGTACATTTTTTGCACTATAAAGGAATTTTAGCATATTTTTTTCACAGAGATTTATATTTTAACACATAAGCATAAACAAAAGAACTTACAACATTTAAACAGATACAGAATTAGTACTATCCATGTATAATGTACATCCTTATTTTTCCATCAAAACTTTGGGCAGAAAGGTACACACTGTACAGAGCAAAATACGGGAAACAGATACCAGGGAAAAGGGAGGCGC